TCTCTGAGGGTTACCACCTCTTTTACTGCTGCAGTCACTGTGTCAATCCATCTCTGAGGGTTACCACCTCTTTTACTGCTGCAGTCACTGTGTCAGTCCATCTCTGAGGGTTACCACCTCTTTTGCTGACCCTCCTCTAATTTTCAAAGTATGATGTCCCTTTTCAAGGAATAGCTTGTCCTAACAACATGCTCAAATAACAGGGAAGATGAAGCTTCACCATCCTAATAGCGTTGTTGTTATGTGCTGTCGAGTCAACTGTGACTCATTCATAGCAACCCTATGCACAATAGCTATGAACCCTGCCCTCAGACAATCTCATTGTTTCCAGTATACCTAAACCCATTACCCTAGGGTTGATCCATCTTATCCAGGGTCTTTCTCTCTTGTGCTGTCCCTCCACCCTTCCAACTATGATGTCTATCTCCAAAACCTGGTCACTCCTAGAAACATGCTCAAAGTATGTGAGAAACATCTTCAAAATTGTTGCCTTCAAGGAGAATCTTTCTTTCACCCTTCCTAGGACATTCCTGTTTGAACTCTTGGCAGTCCATGGTATGTTCTTCTCTAACACCAAAACTCAAAGGCATTGATTCTCCTCATCCTTAGTCATTGTCCAGCTCTCTGATGCATATCAAGTAATTGTAATAACTTGAATCAGCCACAAATTAGTGCCTAGACTGACATTGCATTATCTTTAGTCCTTTGGAGAGGGCCTTGACAGAAGATATTTCTAATTAAATTCTTCTTTTGATATCCTGATTGGTGGTCCCAAGAAATTTTCAAAAAATTAAATTGTGAACAACTAAATATCTTCTCAATCTATCATGGTGCTGCCAATTGGCCCAGTATAGTGAGAATATTAATTTTCTTGATGTTGAACTTAAATCCATATTGAAGACTGAAATCTTTGACCTTCTGTAGCAAACATTTCAGGTTTTCCTCAGTTCTGGCAAGCAGGTGGTGTCATCGGAATAACACAGTTCGTTGACTAGTCTTCCTCCAATCCTGATAGTACATTGCTCCTCATAAAGTTCTCCTGAATGATCTGCTTCACAAATAGATTGAAAAGGTATGGAGAAACAATGTATCCCTGACATATTCCTTTCTTAATTTTGAATCATGTAGTCAATGTTTCCTTGCTCTGTTATGAGGATTGTTTCCTGGTCTAACTGTAGATTTCAAATGAACAAAATCTAGTGTACTGGGATTTCATTCTTTTTAACATTTGCTACAATTTGTTGTGATCCACACAGTCATATACATTCACATAGTCAATGAAACACAGATATTCCATAATAACAAGTAGTTCAAATATATCTATAAATTTTACATTCTAACTATACCATGGACTGCTAGGAAAACAGATTTGTCCTGGAAAGGGTTAAACTGGGTGGCTCCTTGGAGGCAAGGATTCTGAGGCTCCGTCTAACATACTTTGGACATGTTGTGAGGAGAGACCGGTCCTTAGAGAGTGACATCATGCTTGGGAGGGTGGAGGGACAGCGCAGGAGAGGAAGGCCCTCTATGAGGTGGATTGATTCAGTGACTGGGATAATTGGGATGGGAGTGTCAGAGACAGTGCGATTGGCACAGGACGGAGTGGAGTTTAGGGCTGTTGTACATAGGGTCGCTATGAGTTGCAAGTGGCTCGACGGCACATAACAACAACAACAACAACTATGAAGTTATCCAGGATTATCTGAGAGGCTGGGCTCTAAGAGGAGAAATGTGGCGTCAGGATTGGTGGAAGATCTATCAACAATCTGCATTATGCAGAAGACACAACCCTGCTTTCTGAAACTGAGGTGGACCTGAAGCGCTTGCTGCAGAGGGTCAAGAACTGCAGCCTTCAATATGGATTGGGGCTCAATGTCAAGAAGACAAGGATTCTCACCACTAGACCAATTGGCAGCATCAGGATGGATGGTGAAGAGATTGAGATTGTTCAAAACTTTAGTTTGCTTGGCTACACAATCAACCCTCTTGTTACTAGCAGCCAGGAAATTCAAAGACGTATTGCAATGGGAAAGTTTGCTGTTAGGGACCTCTCCAAAGTACTGAAGAGCAATGGTGTCACTCTGAAGACTAAGGTGCTTCTGCTATAGGCCATAGTTTTTGCAATCACTTGTTGTGCATCAGAGAGTTGGACAATGACTAGGGAGGATAGAGGGAGAACTGATGCCTTTGAGCTGTGGTGCTGGAGAAGAGTATAGAGTGTACTATGGACTGCTAAGAAAACAAACAGATTTAACCTGGAGAGGGTTAAACCAGGGTGCTCCTTGGAGGCAAGGATTCTGAGGCTTCATCTGATATACTTTAGACATGTTGTAAGGAGGGACTGGTCCTTGGAGTGGGACATCATGCTTGGGAGGGTGGAGGGACAGCACAGGAGGGGAGCACCCTCTATGAGGTGAATTGATTCAATGGCTGGGGTATTTGAGATGGTTGTGTTGGAGGCAGTGCAATTGGCACAAGATAGAGCAGGGTTTAGGGCTGTTGTACTTAGGGTCACTATGAGTCACAAGCCACTCAATGGCACATAACAACAACAAAAACAACTATGAAAAAGTCAATAATATCAATTGGTAAAAATCTCACTTGACCTTGTAGTACTTTAGTATTATAGTATGATCTTATAGAAATGATGCAGTTTGCACGTAGCAAAATTTATTTTCCTCTTCTTTTCATTTTTATTTCCATTTTCCTCCCTTATTTCTCTACCTCCTTCCTTCCTTCTTTCATTATCTTTTTCCTATTCTGTTCCACTCACCCCGATGATCAGAAACAGAACATCATGTTGGTATATAATACCAATTAACTTACAACTTTGTAAAGTTTCAGTTGAGAAAAAGTACATTATTTTAAGAATAAGGAACTTGGTTAGAACTGTACTGGAAGCAAGATTGTCTACTGATCTACCACATAAAATTCTTTTAGGTTGGAATTCTGTTTATATATAGTTACACTTTTCAGTGAGTTGTAATGGGAAACTGCAGAACACAGTATCTTTTACAATGCAGTTAGCAAGTACTAAGCACACAGGCTTGTTTTACAAGATCATGAATGTTAAATAAGTATCTTACACTTACATTGTCTTTCAGTGTTCTTACTGTCAGATGTTGCATTTTGTCCTTTGCCTTCAAACATATTTTTCCTCATCTCTTCTCTTCTATTACCAATATCTTGCATTTTTTGTAAGTGATAGGCCATTTTTTTCTCAAGGAGGGCTTGTTTCTGAAATAGTGCAGAAAATATATTCATTAGCATTAATTATTCATTTAAAAATGGACTGTTCACTTCAGTACAGTCGGAACTGACATACAGTTGACTCTCCAGCAAATTTTCACAGGCTATAAATGATACCAGAAGTGACTGATCATCCTTCTCCCACAGAACCCTACTGGATTTGTACCATATGCATTTGGGTTGGCAGTGCAAATCCTTGCTTGCTAGACGACCAGAAAAATGGAAATAATAATAAAAAAAGTCCATAAAAAGAGAAAAGCATGTTTAAAATGTGACTGGTTGTGGGAAATGACCGTACACTGAGAATCACACCTGTCTTGAGACATGCAAAATAATAACAATGAATACAAATGTGGGAGTAGAGGTCTAAACAAAAAGAAACCACTGATATCCAGAGGACTATGAATCACAATAATTCTCCAAAGTGTTTCTAGGGCTATAAATTTTACAGGAAGAGGTTACCCATCTTTCTTCCATGAAATAGGTGGAATATTACAACCAACAACCTTTTGTGTAGTAGCCTGATACATTAATGTATTATATCATCAGATGAGATTGTCAGGGTAAATATCCTTATGTTCAAACATAAGGACTACATCTAAAATATCTTACTATAAAGCTTTGGAAAACTGGTTTCTAGCTGAATAATATCTCTCAATTCATAGCTATCTTAGTGACTTTCAGCAATTTCTTATTTATCTTTGTTGTTGTTTTTGTGTACCATAGAGTCAGAAGCAACCCATAGCTGACCCTCCAGTGGGTTTCCAGAGGCAGCTAATCACACAGGAGAAGATATGGAGAATTTTTAAGTGACTTTACCAAAGAACATTCAGGACTACCAGGGGTAAAACACAAAAATCATTAAGTACAGCTTTCATTTGTAAATCTCTGGATGTACCATAAAAGACACAATGGGACAGATTTAAACAAACTGAAAAAAAGCAAAAACTAACTACAGTTCCTCAGAAAGGCTTATGATGTATTCAGCAAAGACTAAATTAGCATATTAGTAGGAAAATAACCAAGGCCACAGAAAGAATCATCCCAAAATGTTAAAGAGAACAATAGCTTGTCCTCTACATAGGTCTAGTAATTTTGCAATTACCAAAGCCACATATGAAAAATGGACAGAATAACAAAGTGAGTCTTGTCTGGGTTGCGAAGAATAATTAGTCTCAACTTAGACATGAACCTAAAAAATGCTTTAAAAAAATCTTAAAAAGCAGTATTTGTAATGGTCAAACTGTTTTTAAATAAGTTCTCTATCTAAGGGGGAGGGGGAAATAGCTACTGACTATCTAAAAAATTAGGAAAATTTTTAATACTCAAAAATGAACATTTATATTTCCTTCCATCCAACCATAGAATTCAGGAATATATAGAAGCTGGAAAGCACAACCCTTGAAAAGGAATAGAGTAATCACAATGAACCTAGAAATTCTACAAACACTAGAATTACATATCTATGTCTTCATATGTTTACGAAACGGAAATACAAAAGATACAATATGGACAGAAACAAAAATTCCAATAACTGAAATGAATAATGCATTAACAGCAGAGGCACCTGCAAAAGATATATAAATCCATGGGAATTCATCAAGACAAACTACCCAAAGAAACACTGGGGAGAAAAAAAGAGTAACAATAAAAATGACTAGAACACCAGTGAGATGTGAGACAATTACAAGAAATCTAAATATATATGTATAACAATCCCTTGACGTATAAAATGGGTAAAAGTGGTATTTGAGAATAACTGAACATGCTCAAAATTTGATGAAAACCATGAATTCACATCCAGGAAGATCCAAAATCCTAAATTCAAGAAACTTAAATAAAATATACCTGGGAAAAGAGCTGGTAAGTAGCTCAGATATGCCAAGAAAATTTTTAAAACCATTTTAAAAAGAACACAATCGGTTAGAAAATGTTATCAATGGTAGCGTAGATTTTTGCCTGAAACAATGTGGAGAAAGTAGTAGAAGAGAATCTTTGAAGTATTATAAGAACAAAAAGTCGGCAAAGAATTCTATACTCAAAGTTGTCCTAAAATAAAAGGGTAAGAAAAAAATTCGGACATACAAGTACAGAATTTATCAACAGTAGTGTTACATCAATAGAAATGTTTTATACGCCATCCCCTTTTCCTTATGAATCAGGGTGAAGTCTCTCTCAGGGAGGAGTGATAGTGAATGGCAAGGGACATACTGACAAAGGAGATTAATCAGAACTGGCTTTGACAAGCACCGTGGCAATTGGACAATTAAAACAGACATTGGGAGGGAAGAAAGAAGAATGAACTGGGGAGGAGGGTGGAGAAAACAGTGCAACAATGAATGAATGAAAACCCAAAATCTCTGTAAATGTTCATTAAAACTAATAAAATTTAATTAAAAAAGAAATGTTTTAAAAGGAAATTATTTGAGAAGAAAAATACCAGTCAAAAATCATCCTACACCAGTAAGAATAGTAAAATTTAACAGATCAGCAAGCAACAAATGCTGGAGAGGTTGTGGAGAAACTGGAATCCTTATTCACTGTTGGTGGAAGTGTAAAATGGTGCAACCACTGTGAAAGGCAGTATGACACTTTCTCAAAAAGTTGCAAATAGAAATACCATTTGACCTAGCAATTCCACTACTGAGAATATACCCCAAGGAGACCATAACTGCCACCCAAGCAGATATTTGCACAGCAATGTTTATCGTGGCTTTGTTCACAATAGCAAAGAGTTGGAAACAACCTAAGTGCCCATTGACAAATGAATGGAGAAGTTGTGGTATATTCACACAATGGAATACTACGCTGCATTGAAAAACAAAAAAACTCATGAAATAGTATTAAAAATGGGTTACCTTGGAGGACATTATGCTGAGTGAAATATCTCAGTCATAAAAGGACAAATACTGCATAGCGCCACTGTTGTAAAATGGGACTGATATTGGGGTTGGGGTGAGACTGAGGAAGATGGGATAAATAATGCATACTACCTTTAAACAGATGAAGGAGAGAACTGAAGGCTGCATAGTGGAGTGGATGGGGGGTGGGGGGAGGGATTGTATAAGAATGAAAGAATTTTTCTTTTACTTTTCAAAGAGAAGAGTGAATTGGAGGGAGGAGTGGGCAGAGAGAAAAGTGCAACAATGAATGAATGGAAATCCAAAGTCTCTAAATTTTC